AAGTCAGATATAGAGCTAACAAGTAAAAACATAGTTCAGGTGTATTACAAAAAAAAAAACATAATTCAGCAGTAATACAGTAGTAGTAATAAGCTCACATGGTAGAATAACTTTCAATTTGGGCTCATGTATTTTGACTAGAGTGTAAAAGTTTCTTAACGTGGTTCTTAACTTAACCAATAGGTTCGTAATAAATGTTGAGATTTTCACAGAGTTGATTGTAAAGTTTGCTCATTGCAACAACTGGTGACTTTAGTATTATGTTTGTTCTAGAATTTGGTAGATAAAAAGTCAGTTCACTTCTAGAATTGATTAGTGGAACATGAAAGTTGAAGTGGGAGAGTAGTTCGGGACAGTCAATCAGATTATTCACTAGTTTATAAATGAAAATTATAGAGTAGTAGGTAGGTTCTTCGGTTTTGAAGGGATAATAGATTAAATTTATGCAGTAGTATTCTGTTGTCGATGCCTTGTTCAGGATAAACTCCTTCTAGCTTGTAACTAATATATTTCATGAAGCCTCTTTGTATAGACTCAATTTTGTTTATGTGGACATTGTATATGGGTGACCATATAAGGGAGGCATATTCCAACCGAGATTTGACGTATGCATTGAAAAGAGTTCAAAAACTGTCTCTGCTACAAAAGTTCTTACAGTTATGAGCCCTAGCATCCTTTTGACTGAGCATGTTATTGTGTCATAGTGTATGTAGAAACTCAGTTTAGGGTCAAATGTAACACCAAGAACCCTTCGATGAGTGCTTATTTAAAGAGGTGTGTTATTTATGAAGTAATCATGAGAAATAACATTATGTTTAAGGGTGTATTTTGAGTATTTACATTTGTTTGTATTGAGGGGAAGATTATTTTCGGTACACCAAATTTACAAAAAGTGAAGGTCTTTTTGTGAGATTAAGCAGTCCTCCTGTGATGTAATGGGCCGAAACATTTTCAAATCATTCAATTGACGACGTAAATCCATTATTTAAAGCAGGTATAAAAGAACAAATGACAAATTATAGACCAATTTCGAAATTACCAGTTTCATCTAAAATTATTGAGAAATCAGCACATTCCAGATTGTTTGAATATCTTGAAAAGTAAAAATTATTATACACTGTCTATATGATGCCATAACTCATTTCCAGCAAGATTTACATCCAAACAAAAAATGTATAGTTCATCCATAACACCCAAAGAAGACATTTAATATTGTGGACCATGAAACTCTTCTGAAAATACTGCATATAAGTATCCGAAGTTTAGTTTATAATTGGTTTTAAAATTATTTATTGATCTCCTTAGATCTAACTGAAATAAAAAGGTGGTGCGATGCCAATCAAATGGTCTTCAACTCTAAGAAAACTAAAGTGTTATCATTTAAATGGGACATCGACAAAATACAACTAGATAATGATACACTTATGAAATCTGATAATTACAGATTCTTAGGTGTTGTATTGGACCATAATTTAAAGTTTGATGAGCATATTATGGCAATGGCAGAGAAATTGTCATCTGGGTGTTATGCTATCAGAGTTATTAGAAATGACATCGGTTATCTTATTGCTAGAAAAGCCTACTTTGCTCTCCTGGAATCTCACATCAGATATGGGATAGCATTTTGGGGAGCCTGCTCACAAGCGTTGTTCTCAATGATCTTTAAGCTACAAAAGAGAGCACTGAGATACTTATGCNTGGACAAAAGTCAATTTATTACAAAGGTGTCAAATTTCACAATGTACTATCAAATGCTCAATCTGCCTACTCCCAAACGTCGACTTGGGAGTAGGCAGACTGAGACCAGCGACGAGACCTGGGGAGTAGGCAGATTGAGGCCCCGGCCTCAAGTCGCAAAGCTCTTGCAGCGTGTCACTACCTGAGGAGTAGACAGATTGAGACCTCAGTGTAATGATAGGTTTTTGAAAATGGTTTTAAGTCGAAAGCGAAACGTCGAAAAACTAATAACACAAGACGCCGTCCAAGCTGGACTTTAAATTATCAGATTGCTGACTGCGGAAACCTTTCCTAACCCAAACAAACACACGCACGCACGTCACACACACCCACTCGCACGCATACACGCGTGCGCACACATGCACGCACGCATGCACGATTTTGATAATCATTTTTCCGACTCTCAAAGTATATTAAATCATTCATTTTTTATGTTTCTGTTCTGAATAATTCAGTGGTTGAAGATGTTTTGAATTTCATTAAGTCAATCTTCATAGTTATATATAAGCTTCAGTTTTCCATATACTTTTTGAGTCGAGATACTGTACATTCTACAAACACAATAGATGCAGAAAAACACTGAAACAATCTTGAAATTCGTACAACCACAACATTATCAAAGTATTGTTGCGTTTGTACAAGTTTAATGCTGTGTCTCCCATTGTCATTTGTTACTTGGAATTTCAAGCAAAAAACGAAGGGTGTATTTGTGAAAAAGGAGTCAATAAAATCCGGAACATACCTTATTACCAGGAATCAGACCGTTGGTGGGTTGCAAAGAATCGAAAAGTTTATCATACTTTTCCCTTTCAATTGGTTTAATTGTCCAATCGACGGCTGATGGTGGAATTGACGTGATCAAAGTATTGTTTCGTGGTGGAGGTGGTTTTGTAGGTTTTGGCAAAGGAATGTCTCCCTAGAAATAACAATTCACAAGAAATATAAAGACAGCTTTTGTTATTCAGAACTGTTACACCTAACAGCTACACTTAAGCAACTCATCTTATTGAGTGTTGTCGTTCGTAGGAGGGTGACGAAAAACAGATTTAAACACACTCTAATGTTTAGAAAATCCGATTTTTATTCGAATTAACTCCTATAATAATTTACTGATTTATAATTACCATTTTTGGTGGAGGAACATCCATACCAACATCGGATACCTTCAAATCTTTTCCATTTTGAACGAGAGCGACTAACTTCAAAGCCACAAACATGCCTGCTTTGTCTAAACAGCCCCTTCCACCAGGATCGGACAAATCCCATATTTTGGAAAGAATTACATCACTTAGCCCGGATTTTTTGAGAAAACGAGCTGCTTCCATTCCACCAACAGTTCCAATGCCCTTTGGATCAACCTGAAGGAAACAGTTCAAATATATCTGTATGTTTAGGAAAAAACTAATTAAAAATGTAAACATCATAAAAGAAAATTTCACCAACTCATTGAATGAACATATAACGAACTAACTACCAATTTTCTCATTGGAAAATAGATTTTATCAAATCTATTGTCCAATTATTATTAAAGGTGGATATTATCGACTCCATTCTTTCCAAAAAACTGCGGACACAAGCCATTTATAAGGTCTATCCCACTTCATCGGACATTGACATACTATGATGTATGTCAATAGTACTAGTCAAATTAGTTTGAGGAAGCAAGTTATGTGTTAGTATTGTATTTATTTGTATTGTATTTATTTATTGAGTAGGCAAGCCTAATATACAAAAAAAGAAAAATTACAAATTCATAAATATCTCACGACATTAACTATGTAAATATAGTAACATTTTAAAGTACCTTTCAAGGAAAACCAAATATACATACATATCTATAGATATTAAAAAATTACAAATATCATAATGAGCTGTCACTAATATACTTCTTTAATGATGACTTAAATTGGTTTATTGAATTAGATTCTTTTACAAATTGTGGTAGTTTGAAAATGAATATCATTGCTACAGTATCTGGGAAACAGACAACCACTGCAATGTACTTAACATGTTTGATATACTGGAATACCTATTCACTTGTAAAATAATCCGCATTCCACGATTCTGTAACTTTTGTAAAGCCGATATCTTATTTTAGTCAAATGAGTATAAAACACTAGCACAATAATCAAAATGGGGTTGGATTATACAATTACATAATGTAATTTTTGAATACATTGAAAGCTGAGACGAAATTCTTGAGAAAAAATATATTTTTTCAGTAATTTTCCTGAACATGAAGAGATAAACGATTATCCACCATGAAACCTAAATATTTGAATTCACTTACGAACATCACCTGCAATTTGTAATCTCAAGTTACGTTTGTCGAGTGATAGCTTGTAACCAGTTGATAAGATCATATATTTTGTTTTGGAGCTGTTGAGTTTTAGTTTAATGTGATTCATGTACTTGAAAACATTTCTTAGTTCATTATTCATTTGGTCAGCTACTGTTTCTATATTATCTCCTGAAATTGATAATAAAGTGTCATCTGCAAAAAGGTTCATGAACTCACAACCATGGATGGTATCTATATCATTCAGGTAGATTAAAAATAATATAGGTCCCAAAACACTCCCCTAAGTTACCCCGAAAACGACATCGCGAGATGATGACACTGAATCTTTTATTTTGGTTACCTGTTTGCGTTGTGATAAATAATCAGTCAGTCATAACAAAACAGTATTCCTGTGAGTACTCACACTGTAATCGGAGGTATGGCTGAATAATTGTGTTACACACTGTAATTGAAGTTTTATAACTGCGAGCGATATCTTGCCAAGAATAATATATTTGGGATTTTTTCGTATTTGTATTTGAAGCGAATTTATGAGTCTAATGTATTGTCAACTATGAACTGGAGATATTTGATGTCTTCTTCTATTTCAATTTTTTCATTATATATAGAAATATTTATGTTGTTATATCGATAAAGTAGTTGTTGAAATTTTTGACCTTGTCAATATCATTTTTTGCCAACGTTACCTTTCCACTTATCATAAATTGCAAATGAACTATTTCAATACTATTCATAGGTTTTAAAATAGATTCAAGAGTTTGCAACATCCTTTTAGCATTATTTACATTTCAGTCCATTTTGTTTTTGTAATATTCTCTCTTTTTGGTCCTTAAACTTTCAACAATTTTCCTACATCTAAACAAATTTTATGTTTTGTGGTACCAAGGAAGTTTCTAAAACATTCAAATGATTCAATTGGCAAAATTTCCTCTATGAACATTACACAATTTGCACCACTGAAACAGTTCAGTGAATTATGCTGTTCATTCACATGACAGGAAACTGTTTCTGGGCAGTAGATTCATTTTAAATACAGTTATTTCCTGGATATCACTTACGGGAAACAAAAATTTGATAGACTTACCACATTGTAATAAGCTTCATATATGGCACTAGAACTGCCTGCTACCTAAAAATGATTTGCAAAATATATCATCTAGAACCAAAGGGTTGGGGCATTTTATTGATATTGTAAAAATATAAAATATAATGAATGGTCAACGTTAAACTTTTCCAAACACGATATAAAGAGAACTATTTTACTTCAACCAACGATCCTGGATGCAATTAGTGCTTATTATCTTAGAGCCAGCCTGGAAAACATTTATTTAAATTATTTCAATACCGCCCACTGAACTGTCAAAAATGTGGTGAATGGAGTACATTCAAAATTAATTTTCAACATAATACAGGAAGAGTCTAATTGCATCCAAGCATTTAGTTACATAAATTAAGGAGTATTTGATTCTGTAATCTATTTGTATTCCACCTACCTGTGTAGGAGACGGCAACGCAGCCATCTTTTTCAATAATAACTAAAAATTGTCGGATTCGTGGAAACAACTACCAATCCAAACAACAATCAATATTGACAATTCAAGTAAACCTCGTTCTGACATTTAATGATATTAACCAATGAGAATACTTGTCAGATTTTGAAGTACATGCCCAGGACACGCATAGAATATTCCTGGTTCATTATTTTCATAACAGAGGTGCTGAGTACAACTGAGTACAAGTGACGTAGTTTGACAATGTCAAGTTGCCACATCAATTTTCAATGTTTTTTACATTTTGGAAAAAATCATATAGAAAATATTTTTACGTTATGGTCCTTAAATTGAATTTCTCCACAAAATACGCGCGACAGATTTCGATTCTTGCACCATCTGTCAACATGTGTACAAAGTTGGGTCAATCTCATTTCTCATGCCGATAGTTTTTGACAAAACGAAAGTGAATTGGTTGAAACACCAGGGTTTCTATGCATCTTTGTCAAGCCCTATGAAAAAGGAGCCTCAAAACGAACGACATAGACATATATATTAACTTCATTCAAAATTACACACTATAAAAGGGCAAAATTTGTATGGATAAGGGCGACTTTAAGCTCAACAAATGGTGACATAAAACGGTAACATGAGAAAAACATGTTCATGTTTGTTGTGTTTTGAGTTGTTATGAATCTTTGAGAGAGGTATTTAGCTGAGTGAGGCTATTCAGCGATGTTAAATGCACATCAGTTATCAAATATGTTTCGAATTGACGAATGAGTGAATTCATTACTGAAAGCGTATTAGACTTATTTTTTGTTTGGTGCGATGTACAAGATAGCCAATATTTTTTTGTTTGCTATTTAACTTTATTCTCGTATTTTCGATTGACGTGCTATCTGGATAATGAACTTCCTTCATTTCACTGAACAAAAAACATTTGGTATTGCATGGTTGCAACGCTTTTTAATGACAATACTCGCGTCCAGCAGCTCTCAGCGGCTTAATTCATTTACTGCCAGATGAGCCAATTTGAGCCAGATTCATATATTCCCAATTAAATAAGTGAAAGATAGGAGAAAATCACTTGGTATTCAGATTTTTTCCACATGACACTCTGTTAAAATTTGACCTAATTCAATTTTTTCAATGTTTTTATATGTTCGTTTTGTGTTTTCTATGCATCTTTGTCAAGCCCTATGAAAAAGGAGCCTCAAAACGAACGACATAGACATATATATTAACTTCATTCAAAATTACACACTATAATAGGGCAAAATTTGTATCGATAAGGGTGACTTTCATGTTTGTTGTGCTTTGAGTTGTTATGAATCTTTGAGAGAGGTATTTAGCTGAGTGTGGCTATTCAGCAATGTTATTATTTGTTTGGTGCGATTTTTGTTGAAGTTAGAAACGCGTTTCTATAGATGAAATGGAATACTTTCGCAAACGTGAAGCACAAGAATCCAAAACGATATGTACAAGATAGCCAATATTTTTTTTGTTTGCTTTTTAACTTTATTCTCGTATTTTCGATTGACGTGCTATCTGGATAATCAACTTCCTTCATTTCACTCAACAAAAAACATTTGGTATTGCATGGTTGCAACACTTTTTATTGGCAATACTCGCGTCCAGCAGCTCTCAGCGGCTTAATTCATTTACTGCAAGATGAGCCAATTTGAGCCAAATTTATACATTCCCAATTAAATAAGTGAAAGATAGGAGGAAATCACTTGGTATTCAGATTTTTTCCACATGACACTCTGTCAAAATTTGACCTAATTCAATTTTTTCAGTGTTTTTATCTGTTCGTTTTGTGTAGGTTTCTTTTTTATTCTCTCGTTAGTGAGCCTTCCATATTAATATTTTTATAAATAACATCATGTAATCTACTATTTTAGTTGTCCAGATGAAGGTAATAAATTTACCGAAATCTTGACAAGTACTGAATCTTATTATAACAGCTTTACCAATCTGATTGCAATATGCAATCTCACGAAATAAATCGATTCATATCAAAGCGTGCGCAGAGCTTCCGCATTATTCAACATTTTACTGAATCTGTATTTCTGGATACGACCATGGAAAAATATATATTTTTGCAATATTTGACGTTCCCTGTCCAGAAAATCTCTGTGTGACAATATGACAACACTGCACACTTCACTCATTGCTGATTGCTTCTCAAAAACATTATGAAAGTTATCAATTAACCTCAAAAAATAGGATTTGAAACCTAAGGGTAGTGAATTATTGTATTATTTCTATTCTAAAAAACTTGCAAAGAAAACTGTTATCAACTATGTCTTTATTTTTCATGAATAGTGTTTGGAATTATACATTATGTTAAAAGTAAACTTTGCCAACTTGCTATTACTAAAGCCTCGACTTGTTTTCACTAATAGTATTCGAAAAGCAGGATCGAGACAGATAAAAAATTTTATTAATTTTCATCCTCATCTTAAAGTGGCGCATCGCATACCTGCAATTTATAAAAAAATTGCAGCAAGAGACTCTATTGACTACCTATATTTAGTATGTCCAGAGACTGCCAGAAATATTGCCAATCATGTATTGGCCTCGGTGAATTTGGATAAAAAACAAGTCATCGCAGAGGCGAATGCCGGATTAGGTCTTGTATCGACCGAGTTGCTCGAAAGAGGTGTAAATCGAGTGAGGATATATGAAAAATGCGACAAATGTTTGTCAATACTGCAGGTATACATATGTAATGTAGATTGATAGGTACACAGATAAATAGATAGATAGATAGATCTTTGAATAAAAAAAAAACTAATGTTTAGAAGAAAGCAAACGAAATTTTCAGAAATACTGGTTGGAGTTTTATCAGCTATTTTTGCATTTTTGTGTTTCTGTAATTTTTTGTAACTACCTTTCTGATCTATGGTTTTTCTGATGCCATGAACAGGTCTATGCGGTGGTCATCTATTTTAGATATGAGACCACTGATCCTACTCAGATCGAATTAATTTGTGCCGAATTCAAAGTTATCCTTCTAAAAAATGTTGTGCCAAATTCAAAGTTGTCCCTCTATGTGATACAATGACATGATCAATTGTCTCAAAGATTTCTTGGCAGTGAGTAATTTGTTTATTGAGAGTTTTGAGTCGGCATTATTTGCTAAGAATTAATCAAAGAGGGTAGACTGAACTTTTCTTCCTTAGATTACAATTAACATTACACTATGCTTCCTAAGTCTCAATAATCTCAATGGTCAGGGCTGTATTTTTCATAAAATACTAATTGAATTTTTCACAAGTAACTGTTTTCTTTAACAAAACTTTTTTTTTAAACTTACTAGTACAGTTTATCATAAGATTTTCACTTTGAAAATTCACAAAACCGCGACGCAAATTACTCCTGATTTTCAATAATGTCTACTCCAACTGTATTTGCTACTACTTATGGTCCATCTTATGTTCCTCTATGAGGAGGTAAGTGGCATATGTTCATTCATTTCATCATTCTGTTTCTATGTTTTTTCAAGCGTGTAGTAAATATTTTTCCAGTTTGACCTATGTAAAACGTGATCCACATGATAATTTATAAAATCAACATTTTCAACAAGTGTTTCTATTTTAGTACTATTAAGCCAAAAGAAGTTCATTTTCACTCATACATGATCAGATTGGTTTTTATCCTAGTCAATTTTTTTTGTTGAGATATCTGCATTATTTAACATTATATAATATATACTAGGTAATAACATTTTATTGGTATAAATATTTTTGGATTGTCACGTTTATCCAAAAGAGTGCTTTTAAGGAATTATTTATTATTGCAGAACTTCAACATAACTTACCCAGAACGAGTTGAGATTATCTGTGAAAGCTTTTTCGATTTAAATATATTGGACCTGAAAGATCGGCATGAAAACCAAGGTAGAGTCCATATCTTTTTCAAAGATATTCCCAAACGGGCTTGGACTGATGGTAAGAAAATATATTTATTTGAGCTTATTTTCAAACAATCAGGAATTCTTAAGCGTTGTTTTGTAGTACTTCCGGTGAAAAATGGTATTGATATTGCGTATTTCTGTAGGCACATATACAAAATGGCATTAAGTAATTGTGATTCAGCAAGTGATTTGTGTGAATTAATTTCATTTAGAAATTTCTCTTAAGTGATGAAATTCATATTCGAGCTTCCTCAGTTTATTTGTTACAGAGGCAATATGCTTGCACCATTTCAAGTTATGAACAACTATTACTCACAACAACTTGATTTCTTTCACCTCTGAAATTGTCTCGTTGATGTTGGTTTTTATGATACTGAAGGTTGACATCTGTAGTAAGAAATGCAATATAGTGTGTTATTTGATATTCAAATATAATTCTGTCCATGGTGATAATTATATAATTAGGTACTTCTAGAAAGTAATATTGCATTTTAATTTTCTTTTCAAAACACACCTGTTTTACCAGAATCCATCATTCATTTAATTAAGTTTTTTAATTAGGTACTTATTGTTATACAGGGTGTAACTAAATAAGTGTAAAACATTTAAGGAGGTGATTCCTCATCGGAAAAAAGATAGGATATTTCATATAAAGAAATTTCATTGGAGCATCCCTTGTTGAGATAAAGCCCCTTAAAGGGGCTGTAAAATTTGTATAACAATTTTTTTCACAAGCACCGCAACCCTTAAAATTTATTTCCATTGTAACTTTTTGCCTTATTATTTGTTTACCATTTAAAAATTTATTTCCGATAGCCTGTTTCATTCTAAACAAAAAATGTCTTTTGGGTTTTTTCTCAAAATAAACCAGTTCGCAGCCCTAAAATTATTTAAGGATTACTACAGAGATACATCGTCATAAATGCGAAAATACGAAACTAATCTATCTAGTAGGTAGCTATTAGCGATAGTGACAATTAAAATTGGTATGACGGTGTCAGTTTGTGAATTTTCGAAATTGAATTATTACTAATTGTGTGTTGTTGTTCTGTTCTTAATTTGTTACTTTAATAATTCACTTGTTATTAAAATGGCATACACAAATGAGGAAATGGTTGATATTCATTACGTTTACAGTCTGTCGCAGGGGAATGGGTTAGAAGCCTCTAGAAGGTATGTTGAAATGTATCCTCAATGGCAGCATCCTTCACATAGAATATTTGCTCGACTTCATCAACGATTTCGAGAATTTGGTTCATTCGACAAAAGAACCCAGGATTGTGGTCGCCATCGAGAAGTACGAACACCACAGCTTGAGGAAGCAGTGCTTAATTTGATTGAAGAACAACCTACTACCAGTACTAGAAAGATTGCCAGCTAAATGTTGATCATATGACGGTATTTCGAATTTTAAAGGAATAATTCTTATACCCTTACCATTTGCAACGAGTACAGGCACTGTTACCGCGAGACTTTCGAACCGTCTTGAATTTTGCAATTGGATGCTGGAAATGATTAGAAGAAATTGTGACTTTCTGAAGACGATAGAATTCACAGACAAATGTAGTTTTTCTCGGGACAAGATTATTAATTTTCATAATTACCACATATGGGCTGATGAAAACCCTCACGCTATTGTCGAAACTAACCATCAAGAACAGTTTTCTCTTAACGTGTGGCTCGGAGTTATTGGGGATGATTAATTGGGCCGCATTTTCTACCTCCTCGATTAAATGGTGAGGCATACGTTCAATTTTTAAGAGAAGTGCATCCAGTACTGCTGGAGGAAGTTCCTTTGGGCATCAGAAGGGATATGTTTTTGATGCATGATGGGGCCCCCGCCCATTTTAGTCAAGTAGCACGTCAGCATTTAACTGAAACATATGCAAATCAGTGGATAGGTCTAGGAGGACCACAGAACTGGCCCGCTCGATCCCCGGATCTCAATCCTCTCGATTTCTCTATTTGGGGTCATTTACAGCATTTGGTTTATCGTACTCCTGTTCCGATGTAGAGGACTTAAGAAACCGCATCATCGATGCGTGCAGGTAATCAGAGAGACTCCAGGAATATTTGAGCAAATACGTGGCTCAATGCGCCGACGTCTAGACGCATGCGTAATGTCTGAAGGTAGACATATTGAACATTTACTATGATTTCTACATGTTGTGTGTTTTGTTATTAATAAATTAGTTTTATTTATTACCTTTTAATCGTTTAATGCAGGTACTAACTACAAAATAACAATAAATCCAGTTCGCATTTATGACGATGTATCTCTGTAGTTGTTCCTAAAATCATTTTTTGCTGTGAACTGGGTCGTTTTGGGCAAAAAACCCAAGAGACATTTTTTGTTTAGAATGAAACAGGCTATCGGAAATAAATTTTCAAATCGTAAACAAATAATAAGACAAAAAGTAACATTGGAAATAAATTTTAGGGGTTGCGTGTTCCACCCCTTACAACCATGGGGTAAACCAAATAAATTACTGGCTAAGTGTCTTTTTGGTAGTACAAAACGTCTTGTTACACCCTGTATAAAAGACATTGTGGAAGAGTTTGATATACTAGTTCAACTGATGAAGATGCTGTGTAGTAAAACTATAATATCTCAGTGAACACTTTTTCAATTTAATCGAAATAAGCGCCATTTGAAGTGCACTTTCGATAACATAACACAAGTCGATTGATTCCGTCAGCATAGAAACTACTTGCTCTGGATTTGATGAAGTCAACGAAGGCCATTTTTGTCTGGTCCTGATTAGCGAAGGTTTTACCGGTGAGAAAGTTATCGAAGTTCTTCAAAAGAAAATAGTCGGTTGGCGAGAAGTCTGGGAAAACTGGTGGGCGAGGCAGAACTTCGACGCTTATTTCGTTTAATTTTCGGACGGTGATTTGTGAAACGTGCGGACGGGCGTTGTCGTTGAGTAGGATCGGGCCTTTTCTGTTGACCAGTGCCGTCTGTCCTTTGTTCCCCACTGCAGCGCACACTGCAAGGCAACTAGTTGAAAACCAGAAACCAAACACAGCACATTTATGATTCACTATCGTTAATGACGTCTTTGCAAGGCAAGATACCCCGTTATTTATTCACATGTTATTCCAAATCACAACATCGTTGCGCGCCTATGTGCCATCACGTTTCATTGTCAAAATCGTGCCAGTGGCGGTACTTTAGCTCGATCGCCCAATTAGCTTTACCATGGACGTAACAATACATTTTTCAATACTGTAATTTTCTAAGAAATGAATGAAAAAGTAATATTGAATTCCTTTGATATTTTCAGATCCAGTATTGATCCCCTTTCCTCTCATGCAGACCTACGACTTTGTAGGTACGTGTGGCAGGTGGCGCAGCAGACATTCCACTGAATCAACTGCAGGGAGATTCTATGACTAGCTAGAATTATTTTCATTTGGTCGTGATACTCAGACGGTTCACACCGTTCTGAAGAGACCATGCTCGGTACTGATGATGGGGCAATCATCCCGAAACCGGTCTATTGGTTGGTCGGATCGACCAAACGAAATTAATTTCTGGTTTTCATAGTGGGAAATAACTTGCGACGAATCTTCCAAGTCGAAGACGTTGTACAGGTGCCTGATGGTTTCACTTCAACTCTCTGCGCTGCATTAGCTGGGTGGGTTGTTGTTTTTCTGTTGGGTATCTGCCACACGTACCTACAAAGTCGTAGGTCTGCATGAGAAGAAAGGGGACCCCCTTTGTATAAATTTTGAATCATTATTTCTTTAGGGACAATATTATTATTTATTCAGAACATAGTGTTGGAAGTGTACATTCATTCCTCAGAAAGTTCGTTTTTATTTTTCCTATGTATAGCATTTTTTTTAATTCTTATCTTGAAAATATTTTAGATGCAAGATTTTGATGTTGGTAAGATGTACCTGGTAAAAATTAACTTCAAGAAAGATTTCCCTGTCCCTGCAGAACATTTTATAGGACTGTATCATTTCATTCAACAGTTATATGGGAGAGGAAATAAATGTGTTATTCCACTGATGGAGTGAGTAGTTTTTGTAAATTGTTATTATAATGTTCAGTTGTTATACGTGTTACAGGAAATTTGTACCTGGCTCTGGCTTCAATGCTATTGTTCCATCTATGAATCACAAGCATTTTCCAAAAGAGGTTAATATTTTCACCAAATTCAATGAATTGACACCTGAAGAAATATCAACGCTTTTTAAGTGAGTACCATACTGATATTCAAACTAAGCTATGTATACAAAATGCTCTTCAAATCAGCCAAAGTGTTATTTAGTGATGCTGGAACTTTGTTGTACCACTTGTTAAAGCTGATTTAGCTGGTTGAGAACCAAAACAATAATTATTTAACTCTCATAACATCAAAATTATTGAGTATTGATTCAAAAAAACTATTAATAGATCCTAAACTAGTTGTCAAAATTCACAAATTCAAGCTGCATAGTTCTAGTTGTCCTTGGGGGTTTTGAAATTGGGGTTTTATTCAATTCATTTATTGCCGATGCTTCTAATAAATTCGTCTCCTTACTTTACTGCTCATATCTACTGATACTCATTGTCCACACATTTTTAATAAATCTAATCTGGCCAATATAATATACAGTATTTTTTTCAGGGAAACAATCATGCATCCTAATTACAAAAGCAGTCCATTAATGGCAATGATTGAAGCTTCGTTTTTGAAGACTGAATTATATGATCCATACAGCGTAGATGATATGGAAGAAAATATTATAAATGAAAAAATGGAGATGGAAGAAAAATTTTAATTTCCAATATAAGCTGTACATCCTCTTCATGGGAAATGAGAATATAAGCATTGAAAAATGAGAACGATAGCCAATGAAACTGTGATGATTTATCATTTAAGTATAATAAAAAATCAAGTACAGGGTAGTTTTTATTTGATTGTTTACTAAGGAAGTGAGAACGATATCTTCTCTTGAAGAAGCGTCATCTATTGGCGCTGGATTGACAGAGAACTCAAAATCTCTCGATCCCCTACGTGAGGGTAGATGTCATCGCCTTTACTCAGGCTCGTCCTTTAAGAATTGTTTAGTCCTAATCCTAATCACAAGAGGTCGCCTTCCAACCACGAAAGGTCAGATTTCAATATTGCTGAAGTGCCAAGCAGTAGGTTGAGGACCATACAGTAACGGGGCGGTGAAGATTTTATCTCCTGGCACTAAACCCCGACGGGGGGAAGGTATAAGGAATGAATTTGCGGTTCAGCCTAGCACTACTGATGAGACCTTTTGAAGATCGAATCAGAGGAATTGGTATTGATCATAAATGTGTTGTATATGTTCTATGGTTCTGATTGGTTGTCTTGCAGTGAAAGCTGCAGAGATATATAAACGACGAATCTCTTCGGCGGTCGATACTATAAGCCAGTGACGCTGTGAGATAATGTAAAGTTGAGTTTGAATGGAATCGAAATAATATTGAAGAGGCATTCGTCAATCGTTGATGTTCATTGTAGAAAATATTTTTCACTGAAAGAGGTTGGAACAAAACATGTTTCTCCCTCTGTCTCATAGACGAAGCTTACTACTTGAAGTTTTGTTTATTTTCATTTGAATGAGTAATAATAAGTCGACCCTTTCTGCGGAAGATGGAGCCACTATGTCCTTTCCACATATAAATGTGAAACTATTTTTGCAGGGGTTTTTCATAACATCCTTATCGGTGGAAAATAAATTTGACCGTTTTTTATTGAGTAAACTACTTATGAGAACATAAATTACTTTCCAGTTTCATGCATACATCTGAAATTTTTGCTGAAACTAGAGTACTTCAAATAGAGGTAAACAAAACAACACTTCTTATATACGGTTTTAATGACAATTCAGCGTGTTTTTTACAAGATTTGATTATTTAAATTTTATAGTGGATTCATCAAAATATTTGTTGAACTTCTTCCACCCATATCTTCTTTTGGGATCTTTATTGCTATTGGCAGGTGTGAGATTAGGCATCAAACCTGAAAAAGTGGCATTTAAAGCAACATGAATTGGATAAAAAAAAGTTCATTCAAAACATAATACTTTGTAAAAATGATTCCAAATCAATATCTTGAAGTAATTTACAAGGCAATATCAATATAACCCTATCAATTTAAAGTTATTATATAATTGTTGCCATTAATTTCATTCAAAACTAGAACAGGTATTTAAAGGAAATAAGTTGGTTCAATACTCAACGGTATTATTTTTTGTCAAGAAGAAATGCTTCAACACACAAAATTACTTTTTATCCATTTTCTTCAAACTAACAAAAGTTGCTTCACTGAAAAAGTTCCATTCCACAAACTAATCGACAGCTGTGAAATTTGTACACATATCTTTTGAAGGTTAGGGTTAACTAAAAATCATATGGATTTAATATAAGTAGCGCCATCTGTTTGTTACCCCACGAACTATTAGGCGCATCTAATACAACTGATTATTGCTGTTAATATTCATTTATTATTGCATCAATTTTCTTCCTCTCGGTTATCCTTTTTATAAGCCCTTGGATTATGTGTTGTAATATTAACGTTATTACTGTAACAATTCATTAATTTACTGTAGGTACTGATTATTTTATTTATGTCATGCAAATGAGTGAATCCTGCTGGATGATAATTATAATTTTTATGTTTAGATAAAGAACATTTTCCCCTCTACATCCAACAAAAAAACATTACTAGCATTCAATCCTCATTAAAAAATACCCACCAGCTTTTTGAGCCATTGTAACTAAAGAAGACATGCGTTTCTGTTGTGTCCTGCACAATCCTGTTATCCTTCTGGGTAACATGCAACCATCGGACCGCACAAACTGGCTGATGATTAGTACATCTGTATGTTTTATTTGAATGCCACTGGCACATATGGGACATGCAGTAGGATGTTTGTTCTTCAATAAAAATGGTTCTCTTTCTGAGGAAACAATTTCACCATAGATCACTAACTCCTTGTCATTTTTCTGAACTTCTCGAACTGAAAATCAATGCAAATATATTTTAACTGAAGCAAGTCGAATATAGTACTTGTGGGACTCGCATTCATACAAGTTGGAAGCCTCCCATTTCCCAGTGACATTAGTTTGAATTTTTTATTATTTTTTACATAATACTAAATTCTCTCACATTTTTCATGTGACGGAATTGGCACTTCATCTGGAGTTGACACGGCTGACAGGCTTTATTGAAATTCATGTGCAATTTCGAGAATTATAGTTCGATACATGTATCAGTAATCATTCATTAGCCAGTCATAATTCTTACTTTCTTTTAGCTGCAACTTCGGAAAAATAGAAATTTGCCTTGTTTGGGAGACGGTAGAGACTACATTCCTAGTAAGTCTTAATAACGGGATCATTTTCAATTCTAAGTTGACACTAAAAAAAATTATTGATTTCTCATTAACCAACTAATTAGCATAATTAACATTTAGAACATTTAGAAAACTCAACCTCAAAATTCGACAAATATTTCTTCTTCACTATTTTCTTCTTCTTCTTCATGTTTTTTTTTAATACTTGCTTCCTTTTGGTGTATTGATCTAACTAGCATTTTGGCTTAATGCCCCTGAATGGAAGCAAAAGCTGAAAACAGAGAGAGAGAGAGAAATCTAACTACCATATTACATGAACATCCGGCCTGTCTGGACTGGTTACTGGCCTGAATAACAGGATTGTTCCACAAGTACCGCTGCCAGTGTTCTCCTTGAAGAACATTGCACAAATAGATATCAGATTTGCCTGCAGTGTATCGAAACAAAATTCTGCTAGTTGGTTTTAGTTAGGATGCCTTTGTAACTTGATTCCTGTTCTCTGAGGAACATTGCACAAGGATTTTTGAAGTGAAACTTCTTCAACCGCGAAGTGGTAATATTAGCCATAATAAAACTTATTTTCATCATGATTTCACAAGTAAGACGTCGTCAGTTTGATAGGCCAAATGCGGTGAATTACATAAACAAATTTAGACATGCAAACGTTGCTGATTATCGAGGCAATTCATGGCGCATCTAAAAAACTAAAAACAAACCGCTCTGCGCTCTGACTCAATAATCATGCGGTCTGTGATTTAATACCAACTGACTTTTTTTGGGTCTTTTCCAGTGATGCCAATTTAACATATTTTATGCTAGATTTAGCATAATTTTATATTGTTTAGAATTTTTATTTGTTGTTTAGCATATAGCATATTTTTCAGCATATGGAATAAGTATTCAATAAAAGTTACACCATGAAACAAACTACCATTTTACTATCTTGCGTACCACATTTCATTGAAATTTTGACAACCAGGTTAGGATCCATTCAACAGTTGGTAATCGTGAAATATTATTATTGGTATGAGTATTTCAGAGGTAACATTTGTTATTTTAGGTACCTATTACATTGGTCTGAGATATTTTTTATCTGTAAATCTCTCTTTTCATAATAAATATGGACGACGAAGGAATTCATCGATTGGAAGGCAGTTCGACTACTAAAGGTGGTTTGGTTATCAAAAAAAAACAGACTAGTTCTTTCAAGGTTCCTCTGCCCTCCCTATTTGGCTTGGATAAGTTGGCCGCTCAAAAAAGAAAGGAAAGAGAATTGTCAAGGGTGTCATTTGAAATCGAAGAAAATGATACCGCCGATACTGAAACGAGTGAAACTCTGACAACCGACAAAGTCACTCCAGTTGAAAGAGAAAAACGAAAATATCGAAACCCTCAGGAGGAAACTCCTACATATACAGGAGGTATCACCAGAGAAGCTAAGGAACGGTATAAAGAGAGACTAAGTTCCAGTAAGTCCAAAGAGAAAGGTGTATATGCCACCACTAAAGACAAAGAGCATGAGCGCAGATCACACAAACATGATGACTACACATCTCACAAAAGGAGGAGAGAACACATTCGAGACAGGCACAGAGATAAAGATTACAAGAGAAGTGAGCGTAGTGATTCAAGAAGAGAAAGAACTCCTAGGTTTGGAGATGAGCCTAAAACACCAAACATTCATCTTAAAGACAATCCCTCCAGAAGTCCTTGGGATGAAGATGAGCCTGCTCCATCAAAAAAGTCTACATGGGATTACCCAACACCATCTGTATATAAACAAAGAAGCAATGATTGGTCATCAGAGAGAAGTTATAGGTCTATGTCTTCCAATTATAAAAAGTCTGGGAATCTCTTAGAAGATGATACACCAAGACCTACACCCGCTCATAAATTCAACGAGTGGATGAAAGAGAGAAAGAAAACAGGCGCGACACCAAGCACTCGCGACAAAGGCCTGAAATGGGATGCCACAGTCGAAAGAGAACACTGGGAAGAAGAGCAGAAGCGTTTGGATAGGGAATGGTACAATTTGGATGAGGGTTATGACAATGAACAGAATCCGTTTGCGGGTGTTAGCGAGGAATACACGAAAAAAAAAGAGGAACAGCTCGAACAAAGGAAGAAAAAAAGGATGTCTGCTCAACAGAGGCAGATTAACAAAGATAATGAACTATGGGAGAGGAACAGGATGTTGACGTCAGGTGTCGTACACTCCGTTGACGTGAACGAAGACTTTGATGAGGAGTCCATAGACAGGGTACACCTACTTGTTCATAATATAGTACCACCTTTTCTTGATGGTCGAATAGTGTTCACTAAACAGCCGGAACCTGTTATTCCTGTGCGAGACCCGACTTCGGATATGGCTTTAGTAGCGAGAAAGGGTTCCCATTTGGTTAGGGTCTTTAGAGAACAAAAAGAAAGGCGCAAAGCACAGAAAAAACATTGGGAGTTAGGCGGTACAAAAATTGGTAATATAATGGGTATAAAGAAAAAAGTTGATGAGGAGGACAAGAAATTTGATAAGGACAACGACACTACAGATTATAAAGCCGATCATAAGTTTGCGGAGCATATGAAAGAAACAGGTAATTTTCTAATTTTCTTTTAGCGTTGAACACATCCATTTGACGTTAAAGTTTCAGTGTTCAGTTTGCTGAAATCAAAGTTATTAGAAATATAGACAATCATAATTGATAAAAATAGTCTTCCCCGATCTGTTGAGATATTACCTTGCACAAAGATAATATGCATACACCACTGAAGATGTTTGCCATACTAGTGATGAAATTTTCTACCAGCCCAGATTTTGTTGTCTCTTTTTGTGACACCAGCCACGAAAGCATATTTTCTAATATTTCAGACATGCTTGTGATGTTCTTATTTTATTATATGTGTAATTCACATTTTAATATTGACATTTAACTACTCACGTATCTCAGCTTTGATTTCAGTAAACACCTATATAGTGCAAGAGCATCGATGATGGATCGAATATTCCTGGTTTATTTTTCACATGACCCTCTACATTCTTCTATGATTAATATAATTTTCTTCATTATATCGTATTTTCCATTTTCAGGAGGGGCGAGCAGTGATTTTGCAAGAAAAAAATCGATCACAGAACAACGAAGGTACCTACCAGCATTCGCCGTGAGGCAGGAACTTCTAAATATTATTCGGGAAAATTCAGTCGTCATTATTGTTGGTGAAACTGGAAGCGGAAAAACAACACAGTTGACACAGTATTTACACGAAGATGGTTATAGCAAGTACGGTATGATAGGATGTACCCAACCTCGTAGGGTAGCAGCAATGTCTGTTGCAAAGCGAGTAAGTGACGAAATGGGAACACAATTAGGTTAGCATTTATTACTTAACAAACTATGCTGAAAGAATGAATGATTTTTTTGTTTGAAACTTTGAGAGGGAATCTTCAATTTTACTCTAAGTAAGTTGGGAAGACAATTACTGGTACTGTATGAAGGCTATTTCCTGAATTTTCTGGCCTGACTTTTCGTCTACTACTGCAGTAGACGTCAGACATAAAAAACTGCAGATAGGCATAAAAACGGATAGAAAACCCGGAAAATAGCCTTCATACAGTTATCTCCGGCCGTGAAAGTTTACATTCTTCAATTACTGGTACTGCTTGAACGCCATACTTGATACTCATTAAAAGTTTTACTCTGTGAATTTGTTGCAGAAAAATAATTTCAGGATTGTTGCAAACCTGTACACATATTGAGTAAAATCAAATTTCAATAATGTATAAAATAATCACTACAAAGACTTTGGTGAGACAAAATGTGCATACTAATAATAATTGTAATTTATTGTACAAAATTTCAATTTTGCTCAACTGGCTATCGACCGAAGTAATTCCGCCCGTTTAACAAAATTACTTTGAAATTACATAGCTTATTTTACAGTATTACAAAAAAATTGAATTATATGAATATAAAAATAAACAATCAAAACAATTTCATTGATAAAGTTTTGTTAATTTTTCTAACAGTGTTTCTGTTAGGTGTTGATGTCGTACTCTTGTATGGGAGTTTCTTGTCACAGCATACTTTCTAATGATTTCTACATTGTCGTTTTTTTCAGCAAACTTCTGAGTAAGTGACGGTAGTCTTTCCTCAATAGGGATAATACCAGTGAGTTGGTACAGCAGAGAGTTTCGAGGGTTGTGTTTGGGATTATTGGGGTGCCTTAATCTTGTTATTTTCCTGATAGCCGTTGTTTCAGATACATTCATTGTTTTCAAGGCCCTTTGTTTGATATTGAGGAACAGTGGGTGCGAGTATTCAATAAGTGGACGACAGATTAGTTTATATATTCGGCTTGCTGTTGATATGTTTGCACCTGCTTCCGGGTTTGTCAAACTTGTGAAATGTGCGGCTCTTGCAATCACTTTCTTTTTTTTTTTTTTGTTATTGACGTGGCTGTTGAAATTTAGTCTGAAATCAAGCGCAACACCTAGGTAATTAACTGTTGATTTTGCATGTAAGATATGCTGGTAAACGTTGATTGTTGGAGAAGTTGCGGAATGCCGATGATTAAATATGATGAACTGAGACTTAGTTGGGTTTGGCTGGAGCCTCCATTTATTGAACCAGTTATTTGTTATTGTTACAAGATGTTCCAAATTGTTAATAACTTTGTCTAGCGTTTAATCGTGCGCAATTAGGGCGGTGTCATCTGCATATTGGAGAATATATGCTTCATTCCTGAAGTGGTTGATATTCTCTTGTTGGTGATGATAAATATCAGAGCTGTATAAGTTATGTAACAATGGTGAGAGCAGTGAACCCTGTGCAACTCCCTGCTCTGAGAGTTTTTATAACTTTCCATGCTGAGAATTGTATGTTAAAAGGCAATACCTAGGTAATCACACACAAATTTTGACTCTGAGGGTTCTTCATAAGGCTGCGACAGATAGTTAACAGAAAAACATCTCAACACACAAACATTCCTAATCTTGATTAAAGAAAATGTATATATATGTTAAAACATGTTTTTCCGTTAACCAGTTCTTGTCCCTCCCTTCGAACGGCAACCCTCAGAAGTCGAGGTTTGTGCGAGTTGAGAGTTAACAAGGATATAATGAAATATTTTGTTGACTTTTTCAATATGAACAAAGAAAGGTTCAATGACTTTTCGAAATTTTCAGTTTTTAGAAGCAATCTGTCTTCCTTTGATGAAATTTTATGTCCATTATTATTTTTCATAAATAATCTGTAAGCTATTGGCTGTATGGAAAAACTTATCGAAGTATTTTATAATACTCGATGAGATGACCAAAATTGACTTAATGAGAAATTTATGGTATTCTCAACCTTTCAAATTAATTCCCTTTTTTAAGCAATTCCATAATTATTATAGTTACGAAAAAAATCCAATACTTTTGTAGAATCCTTTATGTCAAACAAAATTTGTTCTTTGTTAAATTTGGAGTTACGAATGAAACCAATGAAAAATGAAATGAAACCAGTTGTTACTAACTTTTTTGTATACTTTCATCAGAGGAACAAAATGGTCCTATTTCCACTCGAAATTGTTTGAAAACTATTTCGGAAAATCGCCGAAGAAACACCTTTTCCGTTTTTGTCTTACAATTGGGATACTTTCAGTTGCATATTTCAATTCGTTTGGCACATATCATTGACACAAGTTTTCAGGAGAGACAGACATACAAACCCACAAATTTTATTATTTGGCGCTATTTTCAAAGAATGTGAACTTTCACGGCCAGAGATGACTGAAAGCTATATTCCGTTTTTTTGCTGTGGTCTGTAGATTTTCGTCTACCGCTGCGGTAGATATCAAAAGCGATGTGGAAACGGTTGCAGTAACCAAGTTGGTCCTCGCGTTGTTGTTCCCGACGCAGAAACTACTATGTTTGACTCCAATAATAATATAAAACTCGAGTCAAATACCAGCATTATAGTTTCTGTGTTGGGAATAACAACTCGAGCATCAACTCGGGTACTGCGCCCGTTACCACATCGCCTTTGATAATATCTACCGCAGTAGTAGATGAAACGGCATGTATAAGAATCTGCAGACCACAGCTAAAAAACCCGGAAAAGAGCTTTCACACTGATTATTTTCTTCGAAGCATAGGACTCTATCTCTTCAAATGAAATCGTTAGCATCTTTCCTAAATATTGTAACATAAAAAAGGCCGCAGCAAGGATCTTTGTGGGGCACAATTTTCAATTGTTTACGTCTAGGCATTAGTATTTTTTGACGAAGGATTATGTTATAAAAAGGATTATACATACATTATTTCGGTTACGGTACATATTTTAACAAAATCCCGAAACACGTCAAATTTAAATTATAATTTAACATCCTTCAACGGAAAAATGCTACCCCTACCTTCAACCCCCCTCGAATGACAGGTACAACCCCCAATTTTTTTAATGGGAAGTAAATAGGCTTGTGATATATCATTTGAAATGTCTCTTCATTCTCTATTCAAAAATGTTATCGCTACAATTGAGATAAAATAAATTAAAATCATGTGGTTACCGAAATTCGATAAAATACACTCAAAACTTATTGCAATATACTCAAAACTTATTTCATGTTGAGGTATTGATAATAAGAAAGTAAGCAAAAACCATAGTAATGTTCTTTTTAGATGGTATCTTTTAAAAAACTGTAGATAATTTCCATGGCAACGTTTAAAACGTCTTGTCAACTTGTTTTGTATGTTACAACATTAGTTGTCAGTATTTTAATTTAAGTTTAAAGTTCGTTAACTTCAAGTCTGACAAATGGTTAGATTAGCGGAAATGCATAAAATAACAGTTTTACAAATGCTTAGTTATGGAGATAAAATCCGCTCGTCTATTTCATGACAAATTTCCTAATTTACCGCCCATATCTCAAGGAACAATAAGCAAAATAGAGGAGCAGTTTCTCGAGCTTGGTCATGTGGGGCAGATAAATGTACAGTAACCAAAATAATGAGTTTATTCCATTTGTCTTTAAACACTGTATAAATACATATACATATAAAGTAAAAGTATTCAACCATGAAGCAAACTCAGCCAACATAACCCCATAAAAATTTTTGCTTCCAGGGGACGAAGTCGGCTACGCGATACGATTCGAAGATTGCACCTCTGAAAACACCGTCATCAAGTACATGACAGACGGTATTCTGCTTCGTGAAAGCTTGCGTGAACCAGACCTGGACCACTACAGCGCCGTAATAATGGACGAAGCTCACGAACGTTCCTTGAGCACCGACGTACTGTTTGGACTGCTGAGGGAAATCGTAGCAAGACGCCACGACCTCAAATTAATCGTCACCTCGGCCACCATGGACAGCACCAAATTCTCCATGTTCTTCGGCAATGTTCCTACGTTCACCATACCCGGAAGGACATTCCCCGTCGAGGTATTGTTCAGCAAAAATCCAGTCGAAGACTACGTTGACGCTGCGGTTAAGCAAGCCCTGCAGATCCACCTTCAACCCCCTTCGGGGGATATTCTGATTTTCATGCCTGGACAGGAGGATATCGAGGTGACCTGCGAAGTTTTGTCAGAGAGGTTAGGCGAGATCGATAATGCGCCTGAGTTGTCCATTTTGCCGATCTACTCACAGCTGCCGTCTGACTTGCAAGCGAAGATATTCCAGAAGGCACCGGAAGGAATTAGGAAGTGTGTGGTTGCCACGAATATCGCCGAGACGTCTCTCACGGTGGACGGGATTATTTTCGTAATCGACGCTGGTTACTGTAAGTTGAAGGTTTACAATCCTAGGATCGGTATGGATGCTCTACAGGTAAGACCACTATTTGATTGATTACCAGTATTGAAGGTTCATTAGATAAATCAGCTTCAGTCGAAAGTTCTTTATTGTCCAAAGACTTACAATTCGCATTGATGAAGTCTGTGAAGCATAAAAATTTAATAAAATAGTTAAACAAATAGTAAAATAAGGCGTACACATTACTAAGTTCAGCCAAATAAATAGAGTTAATTGAATGTATGTAGTCTGCGAATTTTCAACATTAACTTTATTTTTTTAACAGTCCACGTATTTCTATTTCTCTTTTCTCTGTACAAAACTATTTGATGGTCTAGTATGCTGGAATAATTTTTTATTTTTGTTTCAGATATACCCAATCAGTCAAGCGAACGCAAACCAAAGATCCGGTAGAGCCGGAAGAACAGGGCCTGGCCAGGCATTCAGACTGTATACAGAAAGGCAATATAAAGAGGAACTTCTTATTACTACTGTTCCTGAAATCCAGAGGACTAATTTAGCGAATACGGTTCTGTTACTGAAATCCTTAGGGGTGCAGGATCTGTTACAGTTTCACTTCATGGACCCCCCTCCCCAAGACAATATCCTGAATTCTCTATATCAGCTGTGGATTCTTGGAGCCCTCGACCATACAGGGGTTTTAACAAAATTAGGTAACTTTCTTTAATTTTTCTCTTTCTTTCTCTGATGAGATACAAGCTGTTAGCTAATTTATTTCTCAGAATGATTATATGTCAGCTTACAATCTGATGTTACTTCCAAACATTTCACTTGTGATTTTCCTTCAGAATTAAGCATTCAGAGTAAAGAGTACGGTTTCTGCTTTATCATTATTAAGACACAATCTTATGGATTCATGAAATAATCCTGAGCACTTTTGAAGTTCAGAGTTTTGCATTGAGACTAATGATTAGTATCATCAGCATATTCAACATGTTTCGACAATTTTCTATTGAATGACCAACAAGAAGTTAGTCTCTTGCCACTGTTTTTTGTTGGTATCAAACGGCATTGACTACTTTGGTCATTAGCCTCGTGTTCTAAGTAGTCAATGTTGACAACTTCCCGAGCTACCGTGGGAGCATTATGGCTATTCGCAGCCCGTCAGCCATGTAATTTTGCAGATTCATCCCGATTTCAACTAAATAAATTCTTTTGAGAAAAATATCTGGCCAAAGTGGGGATTGAACTCGCGAACTTTCGATTATGAGTTGGGTGCAGTACCACTGCGTCAATTTACTGCTATCTCACCACTGTTAAGTTTATTTCCAATTGGTTAGATGACAATTGTCCAAGCCAGTGGATAAGTTAACCTGGTTTCTTAGAATGATCATCTGCATTACCTGATATGACAGATGGCGTATTCTTAAGGGGAGATGTTGTCGATCCCACTTACTCAAGCTTGTCTTACAAGGACAGTTCAGTCCAGCTACGCATTGACTTCTTTGTTTATCCCATAGATGGCGTCTTCTTGAGGGGAGATGTCGTCGACCCCAATTACACAAGCTTGTCCTTTTAAGGACAGTTGAGTCCAATAACACATTGAGTTCTCTGTTGATCCCATAGATGGCGTCTTCGTAAAGGGAGATGTCGTCGAACTCAGCTACTCAAGCTTGTCTTTTAAAGACAATTAAGAGTCCAGGAACGTATTGAGTTCTCTATTTATTCCATAGATGGCGCTTTCTTGAGGGAAGATATCGTCCACCCCACTTACTTAAGCTTGTCTTTTAAGGACAGTTGAGTCCAGCAACGCATTGAGTTTTCTGTTTATCCCATAGATGGCGTCTTCGTAAAGGGAGATGTCGAACTCAGCTACTCAGGCTTGTCTTTTAAAGACAATTAGAGTCCAGGAACGTATTGACCCCATGCAAAAATTCAGTTAAGAATACCGCGACAAACAAGAGCCAAATAATAATTAAAACGCGAAGTTAGATAGGGAAATAAAAGCACCTAAAG